ATGGCTGCCGCAACGTTCGTCCCTGCCACGGCCGTCAGGCAGGTGCTGAAGTTTGAGGATTTCGGTTTTTTTGTTAACAGACACGCACACGGAGAGAGAGAGAGAGAGAGATGCGTCATTAACTTGCAAACGCTACCCACTCAGCTGAATTAACCACGCACTTTCAATGCAGGAAGTGTAGAAAGCGGCCCGTTTCGGGGACGACGCATCTGGTAGACGCAGGGGACGACTTGTCTAGCGGCTGTGTTCACCTTGCTCATCCGAACCTAGATGCACTTTAATTTACGTTTAACCTCTGAACATTCAAAATCGTTATGGTATGTTACTATATAAGTTGATTATACTCTAGAATATTACACGTAACGTCTATTGCGGTACATACTCAATGCGAACAAGCAGGCTTTGGGAGGTGTGCACCTGCTTGCAGGCGGTGTCGATCTTCGATCTCCATGGCACTGTCGCTCTCCCAACCACGGGCACTAAGGGGGAAGATTAGGGTATGTGTATAGGGTTTAGGACTGAGGGTTTAAGCTTAAGCCTGGGGGTTTAGATATGTTTAGAGTTACGGCTTTGGGGGGCATAAGGGTTTAGAGTCGGGACTTTGGGTTAGGGATTTGGATGCAGGGTGTGCACGGTTTTGGGGTTCTTTGGCGAAAGGTCCCGGCCTTGCCTAAGGCATAAGGCATAGGGTTTAGGGTTTAGGGTTTAGGCCAGACCGACATACCTGTCTTTGAAGCTTACATGGTTCTTTCACAGGGTTTTTTCTATTCAGTTTGTAAGGGTTTTCATTGGGGCAGCACTGGAATCTGTAGGACCGTCTCTGAGAGGCATGTGTCGACTTTTCACAGGGGATCTTGCCGCCTGGTAATCACGAATACTATTTTTCACGTTCCTTATCATAACTATATACCCCCCAACCGTACTCTAATTATTAAGGCCACCCTGCTTGGAGCCTTGCAAAGAGTGCACACTCGAGTAGAAGCCCGAGGAACAATCGCCTGTGAGCTCGCTTTGCAGCGTGGCCAACTGTAGACTGCTGAGCCCCGGTTTAAGGTTTACTATAGCCTCCTTAGGAAGAATATTTGTATTTTTGTGCTCATAAAACCCTTAAGAAAATATTAAAAGCATTAATGATATTATGGTTCTAACGGGGTTAAGCGTGGTCTTGCCACGAGCCTCGGCCGGAGCTGGAAGGATCCCATGCTGGTTTGGTCGAAATTCCACTGCGACAGCTCAATTGCTCTTTCGGTCCTGCTTCTGCGTTTCAAAGGCTTTTACATTGGAAGCTCAGCACCACTTCAATTGTTTATAACTGTATAACATGTAAACCCCAACAATCAAGGCCCCACAACCTCGACCCTGTTCATTCAGTGATCACACAGCAAGGTTCACAATACATTCCACCTCAACCCCGGAGGCTCCAACTTAACACCGGCTGCTCAAGCCCTACACCACAAAGGAAGTTCGCGGTTCAATGCTTCAGGTGTTTAGGCTTTTTGTGTTTGCAGTTAAGAGTTTTAGGGGTTCGGGGTCCATGGCTACGAAACCCAAAAAGCATTCTGGACTTGCCCTTTAGAGCTGATGAGAAGCACGAGACCAAGGCTAGGCCTTATGGCTCTTTGCGCTTTCTTCGCGCAGGCGGGAAGTCTTCATGACGGCCGAGGGTCCATGAAGAATATGTAGTCTGGCCTCATCGGGTTCGTTTTTCGGTGCGGCCCTGTCGAAGCATACACTCGATACATACATACATGCATACATCCATCCAGAGAAACAGACTGAGAGACCGACGGGACTTCGCTTTCACCCTCCTAGGCAAAAACTGGTTCCGTAACTATAAGAGGGCTTGCGTGATAGGTGCTCAACAAGAACTGCACCCTATCAGTTTACGCGTTGTGTTGATTTCGGACTTGGTGCAGGATGTGAGTTTAGGGTTTAGGGTTTAGGGTGAGCCGGCTTTACAGTACGACTTATTGTGAAAGCAGATATAGCCTGCCAGACTGCTTTATGAACTCTATTGCTGTTTCGCTGCGTTGCATGTATCACGGTGTGCATAGGCGGTAGTAAAGCGAGCGTAACATATCTTGGTCAGCAGACAGGGTGTATCATCTACTCGGATATAAGAAAGTTAACTACTATTATAACCTGTATTTGGGGGGACTTATCAACCCACTTGTACCTACCCATGAACTTCCATCTAGTCTGAAAGCGTACCTTTGGCTCCAGGACGCCGCTTCCCAGGACTTCGTCAATGGTGCGCCAGCACTGCAGCCTGTCTTGAATGTGCCAAAAAAGGAGGCAACCTCAAGCCTAAACCTTCTACCCCAAAGCCGATGGAGCGTAAAGTGCTGGCTTCCTTCTATGCTACAGGAAACAGCAAGGCTGTTCAATGCTTTGGCCTGAAGCACAACTTTAGAAGAGCTCTGATGTCGCGAAATTGGCATCACTTCTTCTTTCGAAGTGCTAATCGTCTGCATTTTGGCCTTCTCACTTGGGGTTCAATATGTTTGTTTGCTTGGCGCGTCTCAGACGTCTGCAGCATAGCTACGACGGAAAGTGCAGCTTTAGGGTATAGGGCACGGCTTCGAAACAGAAGAACAGACGGAGAGACTCACACAGCAATGGAAAGGAACGCTTGCCACTGCGTCTGAAATACGAGATAGGGGACCGCTCTTCTGCACTGCAGGGACTACGGGCTTCCACGGTGCAGACTGATGTAGGATCCTGATTAACAACATTTCCTCAGGATTCTGGACTCGCCATTCCAGACCCTTAACCCTGAACCCTAGCCTAAACTTTGAACCCTATCCTGAGCCCTAAACCCTCTGGGTAGGGAATTTGGATTGTGATTCACTTGGGGATTTTCAGCCTGAAGTTGCGGTGTCAGTTTCCCAGCTTATCACATCCACTCTGTGCACGAGCACAGTTCCCTGTGACCCTAAAGCCTTAAGCCTAGAAGCACTCAACAATTGAATTCTGAAGTATCCTCCTGCCCCCCAAGCCGAAGCCTAAACCCTAAACCCTACACCCTACCATAAACCCTAAACCCTACCCTAAACCCGGCAAGACTACGCTGAAGGAGGGGAGCTGGCAGGGCACCTGCCGTCAGCATGGACTCGAAGGCAGGAGAGCCACGGTTGAGGGCTTAGGGTTTAGGGCTTGGGCTTTGGGGATTAGGGCTTAGGGTTTAGGGCTTGGGGTTTGGGATTAGGGCCTAGATTAGGGTTTAGGGCTTGGGCTTTGGGGATTAGTTAGGGTTTAGGGTTCAGGGTTTGGGGGGATTAGGGGTAGACGGGTCTCAGTACAATAACTCTTGCCATGATGACTGTGTTCACGATCCCTTCGATCCTGCGGTCATTATCTTACGGGGTCCTATGGGGGGGACTGGAGTTTGGGGTTTAGGGCTTGGGGGGATTAGGGTTTGGGGTTCGGGCTTGGGGTTCGGGGATTAGGACTTAGGGTTTGGGAGTCATGTGGTATACTTCCAGTGTAGTTCACGTCTTGGTTAGTCTTACGGGATCCTATTTGGGACTGTGGAGGTCAAGGTCATCAGTTTGGTGAGGCATAAGGGTGGTTGTCAAAATTATGGTCCCTTTTTGAGCCCCTAGTATAATACGGCACCTATTATTTAGGGTACCCCAAAAGGGACCCTAATTTTGACAACTACTCATATAATATTGTACTTGTGTATGGACCAATTATCTCAAGCTCAGTGTTTTTTTAGGGTACCGGGTGGTTGAATGTTGTTTGAGGACCCACAATAATCACTAAAAGCCTGCCCTTGTAAGCCTTCGAGACTCAAATTCCCCAGACAGTGATTGGAGGAGTCCCTAACCTTAGAGTCTTCAGCCAGGAGCCTACCCCATGACCTTAGGCTATGCCTAAACCCTCAAAAGTACGTTGACAAAGCTGATGTCAGACAGCCCCAGAGCAGCAAAGCGGCGAAGCCTTAAGCCACAAGCCACCGGCTTGTTCAGGTAGACGATATCGTTGAGGAGCTCAAAGGCTACCCAGAGTCGGCTGTTAGGTTTTGGGGTTTAGGATTTGGGTTGTAGTGCTTTAAGAGTTTATGGAGTTCGGCAGTTCTTGATTTTATGAAGATCCTAAACACGGAATCCAAGCAGACCCCTCCAGAACCCCATGCTCGCAAACAGTTGGGAACATGGGAAAATGAGCCTGATTGAATCGAACGAGAAACGGGATGCCGTCATGAGGAGATTGGTTCGAGCTACCATAGCACCGACGTATGTGCCGTGTGTGTATATATATATATATATGTGTGTGTGTGTGTGTAGACACATATAACTTGTATTGTCATATGGGGCTTCCGGTTTCAGCTGAAAAAGGCCCTTAACCCTTAACCCTAGGCCACATACCCCAGAAGAAAAGAAGCGCTAGACGCCGCGAGCCACCCTGAGCTTTGCATTCAGACAAGACTGAAGGGGCTCCATCGGGTGCCGCTGGGCTTTCTTATCTATCTTTGTTGCCGTGCTGTTCATACGGGATTTGGACGAGTTCATGGAGGGGTTGGCAATGTATTATAAGGTTGTAGAGGATGTTACAGCGGGCATGCTTTTGATTAGGGTCTGGATTCAAACCATCAGAAATAATTGGGGGTTCCGTAATCTAGCGATGCTCATTCTTCTATACTGCTCGTGCCAGGCATCCGGCTCCGATCTCCCAACCTCTGGACCCTGAACCCTGAAATCTAAACCCTATTGACCCTGCTTCCTTACAAGAGGTAGGTTTCTGGGACCAGGGGCATTTGACGTCTGCGGAGCCTGGCCATCTCTGATCATGCAGTAGTGCTTAAAGACTCGATGGACAACAACTCTCAAGCCCAAGAGCATCCCATAGCCCTAAAGAGAAACACAAGTGAAAGGACTGCTGACAGTAAAAATGGGCTGAAACACTCAGTGCCCCCCTCAAACCAAAAGAACAGGATCACACCGTGAGTGCTTTTAGCGACGATTCTCTTGGGAGGCTTGACGCTGCTCGAGGCTTCGGAACTGGTCAAGGCAGGATTTTAGGAAGGGCCTTAATCATTACCTATACTATTTGGGGGTTCCTTATTATCTTTGCAGTATACCAGACCCCAAACCTTATTACTATTCGAATTACTTAGGACGTCCCCTATAGTAGGATTTTGGTTTTAAGGCATCTGATTGTAGCGGGTGCTGTGCATGAGTTGAAACGTGAAGAACGGTGGAAACCTTCAGGACCAAGGGTCTTGCATGGCTCAGAGCTCAGCGTAGCAGTGCGTTGATCAAGATGTCCACAGATAGCCTGGAGAACTGCCAGGAAGTCGCCTGCGAGTTTCCGGGAGAGAGAGTGGCTGTCTTCAAAACTCCTGAGGGGATCTCTTCATCAACTCCCGTGGAAGATAAGAAGTCTTCTCTGGAGGTTTTTATTCACGTCTTGGCATCGATGCGACCCACCCGGCCAGAAATCGTCCGAGGGATCCCGGTGTGCAGAGCTCTCCATCTCGCACCATGTCTATGGGTGCGGGGAGACCTCGATGCGCTCCACAGGTGCAGAGCCCCATCAACCCTCAAGCCCCCAAACCCGAAATCTCAAATCCCACCAAACCCCGCGAACGCGAAAAGGACCCCCCACGCCAAAAAGCCCTAACCACTCAAAAGCCTTCTGCGAATCGGAAAAGAGACGCTCAAAAGGAAGATTTAATATCCAAACCCTGACCCCAAACCCGAAACCCTAGAAGGTGCAGCAAGGCTACTGCGAAACTCGCCGAATTTTGGTCCCACAGCTGGCGAACGAAGGCTTGGCTTCATACCTACATCAAGGATCATGCGGTTAGGATTCAGGGAATTTGGGGTCTGGGCTTCGAGATTCAGTGTTTAGGATCATGGCATCATGGGACTCAGTCACTGCTAGCTCGGGTCGCAAGTACTTCGAAGACCAACTACAGTGCTTGCAACCCTCCCCTGATCCTCCAAGTAGCAATGTCATGCCCTATAGGGATCCCTTGGTACGAGTGTATAGCCCACAACTTTGTTTCAAGTGCGAAGGGCCGCCCTGCATTACCAAGGCATGGCTGAAGTATCTCAGCATACTTTTCCTGAACAACAGCTTTCCTGCTTTTGTGGTGGGCAGTTTCCTCGCCTCGGTATCCTTCGTGCTTTCCGTGCTTGACATTCTTCCGTCGTGGTCTCGGGCCGGGGAGCCGTACGGCTGGAGCCTCTGGACAGGTGTTGTGAGCTACTACTTGACCTTGTTGCTCTGGCGCAGCCGGAAGCTGGCTTTTCTCGATATTGCCTGCATCAACCAATCAGATACAGTCCAGAAGACGCAAGGCTTGGTCAGCATGGGGGCTATTTTGAAAAATTCCGAGACCCTCCTGGTGCTTTGGGATGCGACGTATACCACAAGGTTGTGGTGTGTGTTTGCAGCTTGGTATATGTACTACAATCTAGAGCTTTTGAACTTCATTGGCTTTGTCCCTGGACCCTCAAGCCCTAAACCTTCCTTTGGGTTTAGTTTTTGCAGTATTCAGTGTCGTAAGCACAAAAACTGTGCCAAGATCTGAGGAAATGGCTGCCTTCCTGCATGCCAAGGGTCCGACTGAAGATGCGCAGAGGCACCTAATCCCTAAACCCAAAACCTTAACCCGTACCTGGACCCCAAAGTATGTGAAAGAATATCCTTTTATAAGTGTTGGCATCTTTTTTGTCCGCTTTTCGGAGTTGTTGGTCCGAAGCCCTAAAACCTGAACCCTATTTCCCAGGCACCTCGTGGTGTGCCCGGTTTTCGTTGGTCCGGCGCTGCTGATGGCGAACCTTGCATTAAGCATTCTCTTGCTGGGCTTTCAGGTATCGGAGCTGCCAATAATTTGGGAAGGCGTCGCGATGATGTGTGCTCTTTTCTTCCCGTGCTTCACACTGCTCGCCTATGTGGTCCTCGAACATTGTCGCAGCATCGATGCGGTGCAGAAACAAGTCCGCAGTTTCGCCATCGAGGACGCTTCTTGTTTCTGCTGTTCCTGCAATCACACCAACACTGAGACAGGTGAGCCCATGATTTGTGATCGACACATTCTTGTTCGATGCATTTCGTCTTGGTTTGGCTCCACCAAGCACTTCGAATCTGTGGTGCGGCACCATGTGATGACAGCATTGGTCCATCAGCTTGCAACTCACGTTTTTTCATACTGGCGCATTGTGCAGGCACTTGGCCCGGTATTTTGGCTGTTTCTGGACATGATCACAAGCGTGGCGCCTGTAAGCAGGACTCTTTCAGCAGTAACATATTGCATGTTACTGTTCCCAAGCATAGTTCTGATTCTACTGCGCTTGTCCTACAAGTTGCACAACCTGGCCAAAGGGATGTGTCAGCAGCTGATGCTGTCAATAGGACTGGTTACTACAGGCGGGCTGATGTTCGCGACGTCTACAGCGGCGGAGCGCGCGATTGCTGAACTCTCGTGGCATTATTTCAAAACCCAAGAGCCTGGCAACACTGCAGTTTTGCTACTCTCGGGTGTGCTCACTGTTTTGTTGTGGCGTTACTTGCCCATGATTGACGTGCAGACTGGCTCTCCAGAGTCCAGGCATGCAGTGACAGTCGAGCAACATTCGACGGAATGCTGAAAGCCCTGCTCAGATGATTCTCATGTGCCTTACATTTGATATATGTTTTGAATTGACGGTCGGTGTCCTAGACACCGTTTTTTCAAGTAAAGGGCTGCTAGGTACAGCAGCTTTGGCAGAATCCTGTGCGGCGTATGGCATGTGTTGGTTGTTGTTCGGCCTGCAAGCATCATCGTGGCAAGTACCTGCAGCTGTTGCTGCCACTACTAGATACTAGTTCAGGCTGTCAGGTTGTCTCCGTGTCATGCGCTCGCGAAAGCTAGCCTACACAGAAAGCAAGTAACCTCAGACGAGGTACGTGTGGACTGTTTCACCAACTTGCGAAGAAAACAGAAGGACCGCTGGTTTCGCACTTCTAATGCTATGCATGGCCCGGTTCTTTGCACCGGGAAGAATGATCGGGACGTCGGCCAGTTGAAACCCAGCTTCAGATCAGACGGCTTCATGAATTTCTTGAAGATTGGCCGTGGAAAATGACTACTACACGACGACGACCAACAAGAACAGCCACCACTGCAACGACTACAACCACGCAACCACCACCACGACCACCACCACCGCCGCAGACGACGACGCTAGTACGTAGTACTGGTGGTACTGGTAGTACTACTACTACACCACTACTGCGACACTACTGCTACTGCTACTGCTACGACCACCGCTACCGCTACCGCTACCGCTACCGCTACCGCTACCGCTACTGCTACTGCTACTGCTACTAATCCTACGACTCCTACGACTCCTTCGACTAGTACGACTTCGACTACAACTACGACAACGACCACCACTACCGGTACCACTATATACCCCTACCACCACAACTGCTACCGCTCCTACTATTGCGACTGCTGCAGCCTGCACTGCTGCCGCCGCCTTCTGTCATGGTTGCTTTCAAGTCATTAAGCCCCTTGAACCCCAAAGCGTCAACTCGACAAAGGCAGGCCCCATGTGGGGAGTTGTCAAAATTAAGGTCCTTTTTGGGGTGTAAGTGCCGTATTACAAAAGGGACCCAAAAAGGGGACAGTAATTTTGAGAACCACCCATGTGCACTTCTCAATCTCGGCAGCTCTATGCCCTCAAACTTCAAAACCCTGGAAACCCAGAGCTCCCAACCCTAAGACCCACCCGAAATGGGAGTTTCCGAAAATAGGGGACCCTAATATAGTACCCTGCAAAATAGGATCCTTATTGTATGGACCCCCAAAATAGGGTACCCCTAATTTTCGGAAACTCCGAAATAACGGAACTCCACCACGTTATCGAGGCCATTGAAGAGACTTTCGGAGTGGACGCCTCGGCATCCGCCGGTGCTGTGGTGTAGCTCCGACTTGTGTTTTCTCGGTTTAGGGTTTTAGGGTTTAGGGTTTAGGGTTCAAGCGTTTAGGGTTTAAGGGTTTAGGGTTTAAGGGTTTAGGGTTGAGGTCTTGTGGGGAGGAGCAGCGTGCCGGGGGGGGGGGGGGCGGGGGGCAGTCGCTGTTTTGCTTCGTGTCTGTCTGCATGCTTCTCTCTGTTTGTCTGTTGGCGGATGCTTTGAGGGTTGAGGGCCAGCGTTTGGGTCCTATGGTTTGGTTTTGGAGGCCGGCCTTCGGTGTCGTAAGTAGGGCCTGGGGTGAGTCAGATTGTAGTTTCACCGGATGGGCTTTCGGATGCATGTTTCCCAAGGCTTGGAGCGTATGGTGCACGGTTCTAGGCTTAGGATGCAGAGTTGTTGATACGATGGCTGAGATCACCGGAGAGTGGAATACAAGACCCCTCAAAGACCCAAATCATCGTCTAATTTAATGCCCAACCCGACATCCCCAAAGCCTACACCCGGCCGAGGTGCCTCGATCTGGATTGTCGCCGCATCTTTGAGCCTGAAAACGTAAGTCGTTTATCACGTGAAGCCGTAAACCTCAATAAACGCTAACAGCGCTAAACTAATATGATGAAGCCTCGTGAGCGTTTGGGATGCAGGGGCTCGACCAAAGCTTTCTAGGTTTCGGCTTGGCATACCCTATGAACCACACAAGCCCTACATAGGCTAGAAGCCCTGGAAAGCCTGTAAGCCCTGAACTCGATTTATCCTGTGAGCCGGATATTTCCCTCTCAAACCATAAAACCTAAACCTCAAACCCTACGAGCTTTATCTGAGCCTAAACCCTCAACCCTAAACCATGTAAATTCTGGAAAGTTTATATAACCCTTAAAGCCTATAGACCCTCTCAAGCCTAAACCCTTCATTAACAAACCCAAACCCTAAACCCTAGCAGCCTTATAATGCCCAAACTCTCGAATCTTAAAACCCCTCAAGCCTACACCCTAAACCCTAAACCTTAAGCACTAAACCCCCTAGCCGAAAGTCGGCCAGGATGGCTGCACCCGGCGCCGGCGCTGGGGGTGGTGAGGCTGAAGCTGTTCCCTGGCCGCCCTAGGGGGTTTAAGGTTTAGGGGTCCTCATTGTCATCCCTAAACCTGAAGGAGAGAAGCAGGGTATGAGGGCTTCAAGTGTTGAAACCCAGGCACCTTAGGTGTCGAGTTCTGCAGCAGCTCCACCCTCTACCCTCCATCCTAGATGACATTCATAGGAATTTGGGCAGGAACCCTGTAGGGAACCCAAAAGATCACTTTGAAAGACACCTAAACGTCAGGTAAAATTAAAGATCGCTTTAGAGGAACTCCCTTAAGGAACCCTACAGCATTCTAAGGCAGAGGAGAAGACGGAGTTCGATGTCGTGCTGAAGGAAGTGCCTAAGGACCTGAGTGGTTCCGATAAGGGTTTAGGATTCAGGAGTTAGGATCTAGTATGCGTTTGTTCAACGGCTTCTGCAAGGGTTCCTTTAAGGGCCGAGGGGTTTGAGCGATTTGGGTGTTGAGTGACCGATGTTTTGGTTAGGGAAGTTCAGGAAGTGCTAGGGTTCTTCGCTAGGAGGTTCAGGGGTTTGGGCGTCGAGGTAAAGAGGCTTGGGGGTCTAGGGTTTAGGGTTTAGGGTTTAGGGTTTAGGCCTTGCAGTTTGTTTTTCGTGCGTCGGCTGAGGTCGGTCTGTCATATTTTTGTACGGAGCCCTTTTGGCAAGGTTAGTGGTTGATCAACGCGGAGCCTGCCTAAGTTGCTATTATGTGTCCCAGCCCCTTGAAACCCGATCTGATCCTCGGCTTTCACTCCGAAGAGCCCGATAGAAGCAAATGTCCGGGGGCTGTCAATCAAAGGGGAAAGGAGGGACCCTTAATGGGGACCCCTACCCTATAATGGGCTACATACTGGGTATATAATAGCTATATTGAGGGTATATACCTAGGGGTTTCATATTAAGGGTCCCTCCTTTAGCAGACCCCCAACCGTAAGCTTCTGAAGCCTACCCAATAGACCTGAAATTCATCATACCACACCCTAAGCCAAGCCTTGAAGGGCAGTACTTCATAACTTCAGGAGAAGAAGATCGCCATTATCAAGGTGACGTGTGGAGAGGGTCATGTGGAACTCTTTGATTGAACTCGTTCGAGTTTACGTTTTAGTGTTTAGGAGTTCGTTTCTGAGGATCGCTTTTGTATTTGCCAGGGAAGTTAACAAAGTTAAAGCTATACTGGGGTCCACGATTTTCAGCAATACCTGGTTCCTGAAAGATCTGGAGAAAAGGCTGTTCTGAAGCTGATAACTTTGCAGCCATTCCATGGTGTGGGGCTGGGTGGCCTCAGTATCTTCATCGGTGAGACGTGATTGCCGATTGGCAGCCCCAATTCACCAGCCCTGAAGCCTACAACCCCAACCCTAAATGCCTGCGGGAGTGATCAGAAAGCCTTTGAAGCTCGGCCCCCTAAACCCTAAATCCTAAACTCTGAACCCTACACTCTAATTCCTCGCAAGCCATGAGCAGCCTCTCGAGATCCGCACGCCGCTGGGGAATTTTGGGAGAAAGCAGCCTAGAAGCTCATGGCTCTCGTGGGACACAGCTCAAGTTAGATTTTATGAGAGCAAAATTACAAGTATCTATGCAAGGGCGGCCTTAGTAATTAAACCAGGGCGTTGGGTTGTATTTTATGAGAGTAATTACAAGTATCTATGCAAGGACTAGGCTGGGATACTGGTAGCCCCAGTTCCGACCCCCCGACCCCATTGTTGCCGTTTGATAAGAACCCCTAGGATGCTCAGTAGTACCCTTATTGCCTTTTGCAGTCCTAGGTTACTTTTAAAGTTACCCCCCTACCAAAAAGGGAGCCCTTTTTATTCCTAGGTTACTGGGCATCTTAGACCCTACGTGTATAACTCTACAAGCGGCAAGCGATGTTGAAGCGTGACGCTCGCTATCATAAGCCGGGGTCATTCTACAGGAGGTCGGCTAGGCTGAATATAGGTTTAGGGGCCGGTATAGAGGGTTAGAGTTTAGGCATAAACACATATAAGTTTAGGGTTTTCGGGTCGGGAGAGATAGAGATGTTCTGGTTCGTTGAAGTGAGGTTCGCGTGCAATAGCAACTCAACGACTAGGCCCTGAGCCCCGAAAACTGAACGACCAGAAGCATTACGGACCCTCCCAAAACCCTGAACCCTAAACCCCTAAACCCCTAAACCCCTAAACCCCTAAACCACAAGCATTGCGCACCCTAGAAGCCCTGCGAACCTACAAGCTCTATAGCCGGTTCTATACCCGAAACCCTAAACCCTGAACAAAGAAACAAAGAACCCGCGCAAGTAGCCTAAACCCTAAACCCTAAACCGTGCTATATACTCCTCTGAAGGCTCTCCGCGCCATCACCGGTCTCGGATTGAAGGACGCCAAGGGCCTTGCCGACAGCCCCGGAAAATTCATCGAGGCCCGAGGTTTTAGGGCTTCAGGCTTTAGTTTTTGGGGTTTAGGGTTCAGGGTTGTTTAGTTTTGGGGTTTTACCTAGTAGTAGAGTAGGGAACCTTTAACCTTTCTTGGGTAGTATAGTCCCTATATAAAACCAAAAAGGTTAACCTTTAGTTCCCCATGGAGGGTTTAGGGTCTAGGGTAGGTTTAGTCCAAGGGGTAAAAGGAGGGACCCTTAATAGTATATACCCTTAATATAGCCATTATATACCCATTATATAGCCCATTATAGGGTAGGGGTCCCCATTAAGGGTCCCTCCTTTTCCCCTTTGGTTTAGGGTCTTATCGGCTCTTTGGCCTTCGGCCTGTTAGGGTTTAAGAGTTTTGGTGCGTGCTTTATTGGTTTTCTTGGTGTTTGGGGGGGGGATTGGAGGGGAGGGCTTACGTTGACTTGAGGGTTTGGGGGTTTGGGGATTTTGGGGGTTGAAGGTTTAGGCTTTTAGGGTCTACGGTGGGTTGAGGAATTGAGGCTCTTGTACAAAAGGCTTCCACCACGCCGACAGCAGATTGCAATGCCCTCCAGCCTGTCTCCAAGAACTTTAGACCCGAGACCCGGTATATGCCCTAAGCCCGTTTAGGGTTTAGGGTTTAGGGTTTAGGGTTTTGGGTTTAGGGTTTAGGGTTTAGGGTTTAGGGTATAAACCCCGCCACCCTTATGCCATGACCTCAAAGCTAACCAATCTTGTTGTACTTCCTGCAACAGAAGTAATATCGGAGTCGGAAAACTCAGTAACAGTACCCCCTTATAGTTCTTGTATAAATATGGGAGAATATACCCTAGAACCCTATTGTACCCCAAGACCTTGTTCTACCTGAACTAGGCTGCGATGGAAATCACACAAGCCTAGGTTCCTACCTTGAAACCTTATGCACCCGTATGTCCTGTGCCACAGACCCTAGTCAACACCATGAGGCCTAAACCTTTGGCCAAAAGTCTTCAACCTCCTACCTCACTCGATTTGCATATAATATGGGACTGTCCGAAAATTAGGGAGACCATATTTCGGGGTCCTAATAATAAGGACCCTACTAATTAGGGTACTATATTAGGGTCCCCGATTTTCGGCAACTCCCAAATAGACTTGGGAGGCATGTGTATAAAGCTAGTGTCATTATCCCATTGCTGTAGGCTGTGGGCTGTAAAGCTCCTATGGAGCACGCGCAGAACTCTGATTACACCTCTACAGACCCCTTCTAGTTCTCTCTCACGGGCTGCCCAGAACCCTTGTAGAACCTCCACGGCAGCTTTATATGTGTATGTACACAGATACATACATATGCTATATATACACATACATGTATGGTTCATTTGAGCATATACATACATATGTACATACAGTCATACATACATACATACATACATACGCACATATATACACCATACATACAGTACATGTACATGTATACATCTACACATGTCTCGCATGCGCTTAAAGCCCTAAAGCAGAACGGCAAAGCTATGGTTCACTCCCTGCTCTACAGAACCCTAAACCCCTAAACCCCTAAACCCCTGAATCCCTAAGCCCCTGAAACCCTAAGCCCCTAAACCGTGTTCACTCCCTGCTCTTGCAGGGAAAGCCCAAGGAGTTCTGCGAGGCCAAGCGTTTTTGTGGTTTATCATTCGGGTAGGTATACGGGTTCCCTTAAGGGCCCGTTTAAAGAGATCCATAAAGGCATTCTATAAGGGTATAGGGTTTAGGGCCTATTTTGGAGGTTCATGGGTAGTTACGATTTGGAGTTCGAGGTAGGGTAACTGTACTTATAACCCTTACCATGGGTACTTCTAAGCCAATTTGTTACTACCCCTGCACCTCCAAGTAGGGTTGATGGGGTTCTTCGGCTTAGGGTTCAGGGTTAGGTGCAGTTCAATATATATATATATATATATATATAATGAACAAAACAGTAAGAGTTCGTATATCAAGACTTCGCGTTGTAGATTTTAAGAGGGCCTAGGCTTGGCTTACCCTAAGGCCCCAAAGTAGTTCCTTTCTGTGGTTCATATATATATATATATATATATATATTTAGAATCCTATAAGGTAATAATCCCAAAAAGGAACTACTTTGGGGCCTATGGGCAGGTTTAGGGGACCTTGAACCTGCACGCTCAGAATCCCGCGAATGCGAATATCTCCGATGTTGAGAAGCCTCCAGAGTCCCTTCTTGGTTCGGGGGTTCGGGTCTCGGAGCTTTTCAAAGCGTGATGGCTCAGGCCTACGGATGTGAGTTTAGGGTCGAGGGTTGAGGGCTTCGGGCTTCCCAGGACATATGTATAGGCTTCATAGGGCTTGAAGTCTAGGCTTCATCTTGTTCTCAGAGGTTGGGGCATGGAGGTTGCATTTCGGCCTCGTACTTGTCATCGGTTTCCTATACAGCTTCTTTCTTTAGAGCGTGAGGTTTCGTGTAAGTTATTGGGGCAACACTTCAGGGCCTAGAAACCCTAAACCCTGTAAAGAGGCTTATGAGCCCGATAAGCCGACAACCCTACATGCTTTGAGACTCTGAGTCTTTCTTTCTCCTTCAGTCCCATATAAGAAACCCTCGAAGCCTTCGAACTTCGAAGCCATTAAAAGCCCCATTAGCCCCAAGCTGCAGACACTGTTCTACCTTCCCCGTTTCCGAAGCCCTAAACCATCAACCCGCAGAGCCCTCCTGAAACCCCTAAGCCATAAGCCCTTAGAGCCCCAAAATCCTAAACCCTAAACCCCGACAGACCTAAGCCCTAAACCCATAAACCCTAAACCCCTAGAGACCTAAACCCCTAAACCCTAACCCCCTAGAGAGTCTTAAAACCCTAAAACCCGGACCCCTTAATCCCTGAAGGACGCTGTGAAGCAGCTGGAAGAGGCCGGTGCGAAGGCGGTGATGGAGCTCGGGCCCCGGCGAGCTTCGGTTGAGTTTCCGAAAAAGGGGGACCCTAATATAGTACCCTGAATAGTAGGATCCTTATTATAAGGACCCCCAATATAAGGTAACCCCCAATTTTCGGAATCTCTAGACGGCTTTCGGGCTTTTTGCTCAAGGCTTCAGGGTTTTAGGGGTTTAGGGTTTCGGGGTGACTCTTTAGGGTTTTGCGGTTTAGGGGTGTAGGTTACATGGCGTTTCGGGATTTTAGGGCCGAGGCTTCTTGACTGTGGGCTCATAAGTCCGGACTGTTTTCGGGTTTAGGGTTCAGGGTTTTAGGGTTTAGGGCGCAGGGCTTTAGGGTTTTGCGTTTTAGGGTTTTAGGGTTCAGAGGTTAAGCTACGCAGAGCCAACGTCGATGACCTTTCGAAGCCTAAGCATTAAACATAGTGGCCTGGATAAACCAATAGTACTATGTCTTTCATCGTTTCTATATTGCTATACATATAGATAGAGTGCCGTAGGCCCAGAGATTTCAGAAGTGTTCAGGGTTTAATGTAAATGCTTGAATCGTACCAGGAAGGTCTCCTTCTGCACTGTGCACATGGTGTTCGCCAAGTAATGCGTGGAATCGGGCCCACTAGTCTGAGCCTATAGGCTCAGAGTGCCGGGAAACGACGAGACATAAACCAACAAACCTTAGACCCTACTATTACTAATACTACAGTTATTACTACGATTACTACTATTACTACTATTGCTACTATTACTACTATTGCTACTATTAAACCAACACCCTAAACCCCATCAAGCCGGCATGTGGCCGAGGTGAGCAAGCTTTTTCCGCGAGAACACGATGCCTTCCAGGAGCCCGACACTCAGCAGCACAGCCTCAAAGAAGCCACGGCCGATCCCAACTCTCAGGGTTTAGGGCTTGCAGACCGAGGTGGGAAGAAGCTCGACAGAGAGTGAGATGGCTTCAGCCATAGCCATAGAAGAAACATAGAAGTCGGCCAGTCTCCCAAACCGACGATGCACGGGAGAAAATGATGTGCTTAGTTAGCAGATGAGTTGGTAACTTTGAACCCATTTGGGTTTGAATCATCTAAACCTACCACAGAAAAACAGATGAAACTTTTCGGACCATGTAGCCCAGCTACGAGGCTCATGTTCAGAAGAGATCCCTGATGTTTCCTTCTGAGAGTCTAGAGGCCTCGTTTTGCTTCCGGTTCGACCGGCCGCCCACTGCTTTAGCCCAAGAAGACCTGAAAGTTCTCATTGCGAGTTTTTTTCTTGGAGGTTCATGCGCAGTTATGATGGGGTTCTAAGTCCCCTAACATGGGTGATAATTACAGTTACCCTACTTAACCCACTTATAGCTACCCATGAATCTCCAAGTTGCTAGATGTCGAAGCCTTCATGCGTGCTGCGTTTGCTGTATCAAGGCCTTCGGGGCCTGCCATCGATACTGTACCTGATCCATCTTCCCCCTGTCCTAGGACATCTTCTCCACCCCAAATCCTAAACTCTCTAAACCTGAAGCAGAAACTAAAACCCTCAACCCAAAACCTCCTGAAACCTCATATCTCCAGCGATTTAAGTCTCCAAGACCACAAGCTGTTGACTAAACCCTATAGCCTGAGACCCCGAAGAGGCAAAGCCAGGACAAGATAGAATGCAGGACTTTGGGATTCATACAGCTACATTACATGTAACGAGTGCAACGGGAGCGAGCAAAATCGTAGCACCAGCAAGAGTAGCGGCATCCTAAGCCCTGATAATCAGTGAGTCGCTCGCGCGGCAGTGGTTCGTGGCCGGTAGCATGGCAAGATCGAGCTACTGCGTGCTGGTGCATGCATTGCTCTCTTCGCAGGCGTTGACTCAAGTCTATAGGTGTTGATGGCCCTTAAGACTTCAGAGGGCAGGCTTTCGTGTTCAGGTCTTACCCAAACGTATCCCGAACAGTCTTTGACCGTTCGAGGGCGTTTGGGGATTGAGGGTTCGGGTTAAGGGTTCAGGGTTTAGGGCTACGCCAAGGGGTTCAGGGCTTCTAGGGTTGGGAGTGCTTCTTTTAGGGTCCAAGTCCTTGCTACCTGGCGTCCTCACGGAGACCCGTTGTGTTTGCAGGTCGGCTCTTGAAGCTACGTGTCCGAAGAATCCCATATGCCAACTGGTTTTGGTCAGTATGAAGATTTCCGGCCCTGAGCATTGCCAGAATATTTCTTGGCAAGTTGCTTCGAACGTGCTTGGTAGTAGTTGTGTGAACGTAATTCGAGATGGTTTCACAGTCGAGGGCTGCAGCTTACCCCGCCTGCCTCCTCCACCCTAGACTACTTGAACGACTTTAGCCCTATGTACACCCTGGACCTCAGGACCTTACAGCCTTAGTCCCTACAAGCGCGAAACCCTGCAGCCCCCACACCCCAAGAGCCTAAAGCCCCACAGCCCCGAGGTCTGCAAAACCTACAGTCCTACATACATTCATGCATGCATACATACATACATACATACAGTCCGACACATGCTTACGGACAAAGAGACCGACCGACGGACAGACAAACTGACAGACTGAAAGACGGAGACAGACTGAGAGACTGACAGACAGACACAGACAGACACGGACAGAGACAGACAGAGACATACACAGATATGAAGTATGAAGAACATATACATTCAGTATTCATATACCCATACATGTACATGTACACATACATATACAAAGTATACAGATACACACAATGTTACACACATACGTTGATAGGTAGATAGAGAGGGAGATGTAGGTGCTCCTCGCATCTGCCATTCAGACGGTCGCTTGGCAGAGAGTGCTCTAGTGGCTTCAGGGTCTATGTAGGGTTCACGGCTTGGGGCTTCGACTCGCCTTGTATGTTCTTTGTGTGTTGATTGTCGGTTTAGGGATTGTCATTCTGTCCTGACCTGAGTTTCGCCCATGTGTTGCTGTCACGAGCATTGCGATTGCTATTGTCTGCGGTGTTTCTATCATCGTCGGGAATGAATGGTACGTCTAGATTCCCCTGGTTGGTACTATAGTACTTGTCTTTGGCCGTGTGGAAGTGCAGGATGCACGCTTCCACTCTAAACAAAGCAGACCGTATACAGGGTGATTATGGTTTTACCTGTAGGTCTGTGGAGTCTGATGTCGATCTTCATCACGGCTCCTGTTTTACCCGCCGCAAGATCCCCTACACGTCCATCTTCTTTCTAGCAATTCCCTGGGAAAGGCTTTTTCGGAGAAATGCATCATAGTCGTTCCTGCATTATCGTCTCCTTCAACAACGGTGTGGGCTGTTCGGCAGCTATTGTCAGAGTAACTGGGCTCGCGGGAGTCGTAATGTAGAGGGGGTTAAACAAGTTCTGCTGATCCTGATGCTGCTAGCTGGTTGTTCTCTAGGGAAGAGGGGTCATAGCAATGACAAGTGATTAGAGAAACCAGTGGTCTCGGAGCGTTGGAGTTTCAGGTATCACTTGAAAGCCAGCCTCTTTCCCAGAGGGTCCATGTATACTACCATGAAGGAATTAGGTAGCAAAAGACCATCCCAATTCTGGTTTTTCGGGGCTAATGCCATCATGGTAGTGTATATGGACTCTGGGTTTGATGTCGGTATATTGGGGGAGCGCTCGTCGTTCACTGCAGTGTGCCATTTGCGGCCACCTCTGGCCTCACCAAAGCCACCCCTCCCCTGAACCCAAACCCTAAACCCAAAACCAACACTCCCCTAAACCCGAAACCCTGAGCTCCATTCAAGGTCTCTCTTTTTCACTTGCTCGGCGATCCGGTTCTTGAAGAACTTTAAAAAATAGACCCAAAGGCCATCCTATAAACCCTAAACCCTGAATCCTATCGTTGTTAGTTTTTATTTCGTATTTAGTGTTACTGTTAATATGAATATTATTGCGATTCATTGTTCTTATCGCTACTATTGTAAACCCTATGCCCAAACCCTCGTCCAGGCCTAGTTCTATCAGAGTTACATTAAACCGTCCAAAAGGGTTTAAGGGTTTTAAACACTAAATCCATTCAAATGAGCACCAAATCCACTGAACCCCAAATCTACACCAAAGGACGGCCATGTGCAAAAGATCGAGCAGCTGCCTCCACTCGCGGATACGGCGCCTAAGCACATCGTGATGGTGAAGCCAGGCGGCGTGGTTTAGGGTTTAGGGATCAGGGGTTTAGGGTTTAGGGGTTTAGGGGTTCAGGGTTAATCCAGAACCCGAAGCCCTGAGACCCCTAAACCCGACAGCCTAGAAGCGAACATGCTAAAACCCTAGAGCCCGAACCCCCTAATAGCCCATGACATTGGAGGCTAGCAGTCAATCAAGAAGAGTTTTGGGATCTGCCTCGTCGGATCATGTCTGACTACGGGCTTCTAGGGTCTATAGTTCAATATTATAGATAACCTGAAACCTCATACTCTAAGAAAGTCGGAGTCTATAGATTGCAGATGCCCTAAATCCTAAGGGCTATGGTTGTCGGGGGCCTGGAGCCGGTGATTTGAGGCATAGGAGGCCCAAGGTAAGGAAGTCGCATGCCTTGACGCCTTGCCTTCACCCGAAGCTCCGAAGTTTTAGCTGGGCTTAGGGTCAAAGTTTGGGGTTGTGTGGGGTGAGCCTCGCCGCCGCAAATCTGAAAAGTGGTGTTTGCGGTTTAATTGACAGGCCTTCGGTGCCATTTCCTCGACGGTATAGGGTTCGAAGTGCATTAGGGCATATCGCCTTGCAGTTCCTGCATACCTATATACGAGTATCGCCCCCCCCCCGCCCCCCCGCCGCCCCCCCCCCCACAAAACCAGTTTAACCCTTAACATTCGTAAAGGTTTGCGTCTATATATATATATATATATACATATATATATATATATGTATATATATATATATATAGAAATATGATATATAGATAGATATACAGATAAAGAAATTAATATAATATAATATAATATAATATAATATAATATAATATAATATAATATAATATAATATAATATAATATAATATAATATAATATAATATAATATAATATAATATATATATATATATATATATATGTATATATATATATATAGACAGATAGATAAAGATGTATATATGTATACATATTATATGTATTGGTGTAGCGACAGCACCAAGTCCCCCCCAGTCTTTCGTTGCACAAGGCGGGACTGAGATGAAGTCTCTTCTTCTGCTGACCGTCTTCGGCAGTGCCTACGGCTTCTAGGCAGGCTATCAAAGGGGCCGAAGTAATTACCGATACTATTTTGGGGTTCTGTAGTATGATTAGGGGTAATTATAATATGCCACAATAATCGTATTCTGATTATTGAGGCGGACATTAGGTAGGTTTCCTAGTTCAGAGGAGGGTCTGGCGCGCTTAGTGGCGACAACACTCTATGCCTGTGCGGACTTCTTGTTCTAGCCGCTTTTAAATGTTGCGATACCTTCCAAGATGGCCCTTTCTTTGCTCTAAATCTCGAAACCCGATCACTGAGCAGTTTCGCTAGCCTTTGCTTCACTCCCCGCCCAAAGCACCCACCCGCCCTACCCCTTATAGGTCACTGAAGCCTTTGATCCCAAAATCTGCACGTCCAAGGTCTCCTCACCTTTTTCCTGATTGTCGCCCTGTGCGTCGGGGGCTGCCTGAATCTAGACATATTCAGTCATTCTGGTGGCTTTCCTGCGGCAAAACTCGCATTTTATGGAATCCCTCTCACACTAGCGCCTTTGATGCCGAACCTGCAAGTTGTTATGATTATGGCTTTGACCAGGAGGAGATCCATTCCACTCGATTGACTCGCCTTTTTCCCAATCTTACAAACACCAAATATTTGTATTTGCGGGGTGGCATGTTGCGCATTTTGAAGTCTTGAACGGACGCAACTATGTCACTCCCATTTCGGAGTCTCTGGATGTTTTTCTCTGCTTCTAGAGTCATGAAGACACGCTGAGGGCCCTGGTTTCACCAATGTGTAAACTCTTGTGATTGCAGGTGCGTTGCAATTTGTGTCGAGTTCATCATCTGATTTTTGTTGGTGCTGCAGAGCTGCGGTGTTCGCATCGAGGTCTTGAGGTTCTTGATCTTATACAGCATTTAGGGTTTAGGGCTTTTTGGGGTCAGGGAGCACTTACCAAGCCAAACTCTAATGCTTGGGGACCTTCTACCTTGAGGCAGTGGAGCACTTGACACTGAGCCTCACACCCTAAACTCTAATAGAGGGCTTAAAGAATTACGAATACTATATAAACCATAGTCGAACAGACCCCAAACCCTAATTCCACAGAATCTCTGGATGCACAAGTCATCTCAAAGCTTTGTTCGCCTCAGACGTATGTCCGATTCACCCCGAACCCCGATTCTAGTTATTAAGGCCCCTACTGTTGATGGACAAAATCCTGCATGACCCTAAGGACTCTAAACTATGGGAACTATGGTATATTCCTTATAATGGGTAATGCAGGATTTTGTCCATCAGCAGTATGGTAGGCCTTGTTGCCGAGGAGACCCCAAGACGAGGAGAGGACCGTACCCGACAGGCGCCTCGGCTTCACCTGAGCGTAGATCCTGAACCCCCACATGGGTGGTTGTCAAGGTTGTGGTCCCTTTTTGGGTCCCTATTATAGTACGGCACCTAATATTTAGGGTATCCAAAAAGAGACCATAATTTTGACAACTACCACCATCGCCAAGCCTCAGAGCCACAAATCCTAAAGCTTTTAGCCCCAAACCGGAAACACGAAACCTGAAGCCAGGCCGTAAAAGAGGTGATCAAAAAGACCGCAGCAGAAACGACCAAAACATGCAACCATTCTCACATCCAGACTGCCCAGGGGGCTGGTGCTTCAACTCCTTCAATGACATGTCTCGTTTGTGTATCTGAAAATCTGGGCGGTGTCGTCGAAACCCTCGGACCCCAACACAGAGATTAGGGTTTAGGGTCTAGGGTGGCGGTCATGAAGAGGGTCCCGACTCTGGCACCCTTATGGATTGTGGCTAAAGGCTGTGTTTTGCACTGAGTGGGGAAGTGTCGGTTCCGGAGATTGGACATCTAGAGGGACTGATCTAGAGATTCCCAGAGGCTAGAGCCCGGAAGCCCTTGAGCCCTCAACCCTGAACACCCAAAACCCTATAACTTTGTAAGCCTTATAGCGCCCTCACATCCTTTCACCCCAAAGCCTGCAACTCTGAGACCCTAAAACCTAAACCCTAAACCATACTTTTCACGTCTCCCAGCCAAATGCAACTTCTGAAACTGCCTCGGTCGTGGCTTGGGCTTTGGGGTGTTGGGTCTTGGGTCGAGGATTTCGGACTTGGGTTCGGTAGGAGTAAGGGACCTTTGGACTTTTGTTTCCGGATTGGATACTTACTTGGAGGCCCATTGATAGTTATAAGTGGGGTTATAAGTAGGGTGGCTGTAGATATGACCCATATTAGGGGGTTTCTACCCCTACTCACAACTACCCATCAACCTCCAAGTAGTTGTGTACCTTCACATCAGCATTTCCCCAGACTTATACCTAAACAAGGTGCTTGCACAGCTGCTTGTTTCGCAACCGCTGTGTCTAGCCTCAGGCTATCACTACAAGTGGAGGAATAAGTTGGAGGAATAAGTGGGGTAACTATACTCTAAACCCATATTACGGGACGTTTAATCCCAGTTATGACTACCCATCAACCTCTAGCTGAGTAAAGCCCCACACGCTCTTGTCTTGAGGTTCTGGCTGCCTCGATTTGTGGCCCGCGGCGGCAACCTCGGGAGCGTGTCGCAACTCGGCCCTTGCAACAAGTGTCACTCCGGCGTAGGAGCTCCCTCCTTCGCGACAGAGAGGGCTGAAAGAAGTTGGGATTTTGCGGCTCGGAGAGGGAGAAATCAAGGCTTAATCAAGGGTTTATAGAGTTTAGGGTAGCTTTTTGTTGAAGCCGGTTTTGGGGTTGGGTCAGGGCTCATGGGTCTTGTATCGGGTGTGTGTCTTCTGCAAGTGATTAGTGGCTTGGTGTTCGATCTTCGCCCGGCAGAGCTTGCCATGCCAACTCCTTCCCGAACTCCAAGAAACCTGCCTTCTCAAGGGCATGTACAAGGAAATCAAACCAAAAAGCGCTGACAAGACAGTTTCTCGAGCATCGAGGCAGGTCTCACGGCCCTGTGCTAACCCTAAACCCTAAACCCCTAAACCCGAAACCCTCTGGCAATGGACCAACCCTCCATGCCACCTCTCGGCCCTGAGCCCTAAATGGGAGTTTCCGAAAATTAGGGGCACCTTATTTGGGGGTCCCTATAATAAGGATCCTACTATTTAGGGTACTATATTATAGGGCCCCTTATTTTTGGAAACTCCCAAATCCTAAACCCAAATCCGACAAAAACCCTAAACCATGCACCGATGGCTTTCGAGACACATCGGTGGAAGTCGGGCCTTCCTCGGGGGGATATCTCAAGCCCAGGAGCCTGAAGATCACCCGACCGAATCCATGATTAGGGTTTGCCGTGATCAGGGGTTTAGTTGCGCCTATAAGTGTAACCGCAACCTTCCCTTTACCCACAACATATTTCCGAAGGGGCCGCCTAACGATGACGGGGGCGACTTTGGGTTTGGAGGATTTCGAGTTTAGCGTTCAGGAATTATAGGAAACTCCAGAAAGTTGGAATATGGTTTCATGGTAGGATACCTCATAGTTTACCTTAAAGGGGTTACGATAATTATTTTTTTTAACTTTCTGGCTTCTACTGTAGGTCAGGGTTTAGGAGTTTTGGGCTGCTTTGGAAAAGCATGCAAAAGGGTTGCGGCACCCAAGCGGACTGGAAGCAGCTTCCCAAGAAAGGCAAATGGTCTACCGTGGCTGGGTGCTGATCTGCTACACCCTGCCCTCCTGCTTGGTCTTTGGGATCCCTGCAGTCATGATCATACTGCTGATTGACCATGTGGAGGAGGCAGGATTCAGCCAGTCTCTTCAGGGCTCTTGGAACGTAATTGGGACTCCAGAGGTTTAGTGTTTGGTTTTCGGGGTCGGGATTGTGGCAAATTAGTGGTCTTAGTATGATATTGAAGTTATCTGGTGTTGTGGACCCTCGTGTTGGAGATCTTTCGAAGCCTTCATCATGCATAAATGCCTGTTCATTATGCGTACCTCAATGAGGCCGCACCTCCTCAACGTCTACCTATCCGTGTACCCAGCTGAATATGCAGGCATGGATGTATGTAAGGATGGTTGTATGGACGGATGTATGTATGCATGTATGTCATGTCCCTGAGCTCCTATGACACCTTCTGGGCCAGGTCGCCATGTACATCTTCGTCATCACGTCGGTCAGCGGCCTTTGCATCGTGCTGAACCTCGCGTTTCTGGGCGGAGGCTAGCATTTTGTAACCGTGAAAGTCTGGAGTTGAAGGGTGTTGCAGACCCTCGATCCCAAGATTGAGGTCCTTAGGCGGCTAAGGTTTGATCTGAGACCCTTGAACCCTAATCACCTACCGACGTCATGGCCAGCCGCCAGAAGCACGCAAGCCTGTCCGGTTCCGCACTCTCCCGCTGTGATACAAAGGCCGAAATCATAATTCGCTCAATCGGGTATGCACCGATGGTGTACAGACGTAGACTCAGACTCAGCCCCGATGCTTCAGGCTTTGGGGTTTGCGCGGGGCTGAGAACCCTATACACCATAGGCCCTGCCTAAACCCGAAACTGAGGATCACGGGCGCGATTGGCCTCTGCCGGCTGCAATTTGCCCTTTCGGTTCCACCAGCGCCTTAGCAGACAAGTATCAGGGTACCAAAATAAGACAGACTAGGACTAGGAGTTTATTTTTCGTCAGCCGATGATAGAAATTATGTGGGCCTTGGGATACTGAGCTGCAGGAGCGGCGGGTCTTCATCTCGACAAACCCTCGTAAAGGAGCCCCCCTAACCGGCTAATATGGGGTGCGAGACAATTGCCAATGTTGTTTCTTCGGGCTCCTTAGGATGACTACACCATTGAAGTCCCCTATGTAACATGGTCCCGTCTAGGTTCCTGGAGACGATCCCTCGAACCCTAAACACCAAATCCCGAACTTCAAATCCTAAGAAGCGACAACAGGCCCAAGCTCTTACGCAAATCCTAAGCCCGAAAGTATCCTGACACCTAGACTCATGGAGAAATGATGAGCGCAATCACACAGCAATCTAAGCCCCAGACACCCATTCTGCGCCTCCTAGCCCTACACCAAGTAATGAAAGAAAAGAAGAAGCACCACAAAGACACACAAGCAAACGGTATCGCAAATACAGCTTTGCATATGTTACATACCTAACTACATACCTGCATGTCTACATACGGACACACATTGACATACACACATATTCATACGTCCCCAAACCCTATAAACCCGAAGCCCTAAACCCTCCATGTATGTATGTATATATCTAAACCCTACACTCTAAGATGTATGTATGTATGTATGTATGTATGTAAGTATGTATCTAAACCCTAAACCCTAAGATGTATGTATGTATGTAGACTGCGAAAGGAGCGGAGCGAGGAGCAACCGGAGTGCAGCCCGGAGCAGCCCAAAGTCATCCACTGGGCTGCTCGGATGGGTTCGGAGTTTGGGGAGTCTAGGGGTTATGGGTTAAGGGTTTAGGGGTTAGGGGTTAAGGGTTTAGGGGTTATGACTTAAGGGTTTAGGGGTTTAGGGTTGAGGGTTTAGGGGTTTAGGGTCGAGGGATTATTTAGGGATTTAGGTTTTAGGGTTTGGGGTTTTGAGGTTAGGGGTTGAGGGTTTAAGAGTTGGGGGTTTAAGCTTATTTAGGGATTTATGTTTTAGGGTTTAGGGATTTGGGGTTTAAAGTTTAGGAGTGTAGGGTTTAGGGTTCAGATTTTAGGGCTTTAGGGTTGAGGCGCTTTGGGGCTACGGGCTTAGGGATTTAGGTCATGGGTAGGTAAAAGTGGGGTTCTAAGCAGACGTATAATCCCATCGAATATACCTACCCCTTCGATAGAGGGCTGGCGGTGGGGGGGTTATTGTTCTCCGATTTAGCGCACAACAACCCCCCCCACCCCTTCGATAGACTTTGCCTACCCTTGAGCAGTTTCGGGCTGTAGGGGTGCAGGGGTTTACATCTCAACACAGAAATATAGATATAAATATACAAACAAGAATATACAAACACACACACACACACACATATATATATATATATATATATATATATATATACACACACATGTGCTTTTATTGGCGACTTGGCATGAGTCCATCCGTCCCTGTGTGCAGGGCTTCGTTTGAGTAGCACCTTTTCCCCATTGGCTTTCGGCTCATTGGGTTTATGTAGGGTTTAACGAGGGTTTCGAGCTGTTTTCAGGGCCGGGATTGGGATTTCTGAACTCTGCTAGGCTTTCATGTTGAAGGCCTGGTCAAGAGAACCGTGGGGTTTGAGTTTTGGGTTTGGGGGGGTGAGGGATCTCCATTGCTTGAGGCTGAGGAGTTTAAGGTTTCGTGGTTTAGAGTTTAAGGTAAAGGAGGAAGCTTAAGGCCCTGAGATTATAGGCTCGGTTGCAGTTGCTGCTTGGATGTGGTACCCTATTGGACCCAATATGGATGTTGCAGGGTTCTGCAGTACATCTCTTGGGTTCAGGGTTTAGGGTCTAGGCTCGTTCTTGGCGTTTACAGGACTGTTACATTGCAGCTGTGGGTGGAACAGGGCTTCGTATACATGTGCCTGTGTTTATGTAGACAGATATACACACACAAATCTACATGTGTATGAATATATGTAACAACCCCCCCCCCCCCCGGCAAGAATCCTACCGTAGAGGTACCCGTAAACAGCCTTGTATGGACCCGAGTGAGTCTTGGCTGAAGTCCGAGACAACACCCGAAGTCGCTTAGGGCTTAGGGTTTAGGTCTCGGGTTCCTACCAAAGCAGACGAATCTGACAGGGAAGGTCTGACTTAGACCGCTAGACTCGTTCAAGCTCAGGCTACCCCGGATTTTGGAATAGAAAAGCCAGGAAAGCCAAAGGCTAGAAGGTCAAGCTTTAGGAAAGCATCGTCCTAGACGCTTTGAGGTTGAAGGGCTTAGTGTTGAGGGTACACCTGCGCATGTGCGATTCGAGTGTGCTCCTTCCTTTCCAGGTTGTGCTGCCGCAGTACAAGGAATCGGAGACTTGTCTCGGTGAGTCTGATTGTCCTTGTGAGCAGTGCCAGACTATTCTGTTCTCTGTTCACTTGCACAACACAAGACCCAGACACCTCCCACAACCTCACTTTACCAAACCGCTTGGAAGCCCCGAAGAAGAAAAAAACTGACTAGTTGGGGCCTTTGGAGCCCCTGAATGCCCTTCCTTGAAGGGGGACCCTGATTTCGGGTTTAGCGTTTCGGACGTCGCCAGCATGGCAAATAATGGCAAAGAACACCACAATGTCTTTGTTGTCTCGTACGATCCGAAAATGTGGTGCGGATCATCCAGTTGGCCAGAGGGGCAGCTCTCAATCCCTGGAGATCCTCAGCTATAACACTCCCGCATAGTCCATGTATAATTTTCGTATATGTAGACCTTTACACTGCCACCCCAACCCCAGTCTACTTCTTGTGGCTATTGGTTCTCTGTAAAGTAATCTCATAGGACCCCATATAGAATCCGTAACGCACCCTTTTAAGAACCCTTACTTGGAGGTTCATGGGTACTTATAAGTGGCTTATAAGGAGGCCAACTATAGTTATAACCCATATTAGCGGACTTAGATCCCCACTTATGACTACCCATGAACCTCCAAGTAGTACCCATAAAGCACCCTTTTAGGAACCCGGGTAATACCCCTAAGTGCCATTTTATGAAAAACCTCGGAGTACCCTTACAGGAACCCTTGTGGTATCCCTGAATACTAGTTGTGGCAAAGCATTTGGGAACCACCCAATAAACCCTAAACCCTAAACCCTAAGCCCTAAACCCTAAACCCTAAGCCCTAGGTGGAGATCGTCAGCCAGACGCTTGAGTCCTTGTGCCGAAGTTCTCTCTCCCAGCAGATGGGAGTGCTGTTAGCCATGGAATCATCGGCTCAATGAAGGGTTTAGGATTGAGGTTTACGGTTTAGGGCTTAGGATTCAGGGCCTTCCTTAAACCACCATAGTCTGTTTTTGCAGGTTCTGACTAGGAACCCTAAAATACGAGCTATAGGGGCCCTACAATTGAGTACAGTAGCCTTGCTTGTAGTTCAAGGTAGGACTTGAGTTTCGAAAAGGGGCTTAAAGATAGGTGTAGGGTTTCAGATTCAAAAATTCACGGTTCAGGGTTGAAACATGACCGGGTATATCGGTTTTGAGCCTTGAGGTTCAATATTGCGCGGCGCGGTCTATGGTTGTGGTCGATGTCAGTACAATGGCCCATAAACCAAACTCCTTTTCTTACACTCTAGAGGGCCTGTGCAATTAGCAATAACATTGCTTTTCAGTCGCTATGAAAGTAATACTATATATATATATATGTATAACGAAAATATTTTGTATATTCGCCCGGTATGACTTATTTCAATCACTAACGCTCCCACCCCCATTCTTGGCCGGCAGTAAACACTCCTCTTCACTGCTATGCCTCCCTTGCTGGATGGCGTCTTGCACAGTTTGAAGATGGCATTGTTGAGTTGTAGGTGGAGGTGTGCTGCTGGAACTTGATAGGATGGAACTCTACTATCCTATCCCCAAATGTTCGAATTTCTTTGCAAATTGCGAGGTCCCGGTTTTGCTGGGATGCTCCTCGGACTCCTCGCGTCGACTTGAGTCCATAAGGCGTAGATATAGGTACGCAGCGCACTGTGACAAAAGAACAGCTCAAACTCCAAATTTCATGATCAATTCCAAGAACAAATCCTGAAGCAATCAAACGCCGAACCCAAACATCGTCCTCTCAAACAAAATCCTATGCCTTAGACTCCACTCACCTTGAAACTTTCACAGTTCCAGAAGAGCTCATCAGAGGCTTCTACACGGGTTCTTTTACGGGTTCTGCCATTGCTCTTTAGATTTGGGGCTTTGGGGTTCAAGGTGTTGAGGTTGCAGGGGTGCAAGATTATGGCATTAGTTTTTGTCTTTCGGGTTTGAACTTTCGTCCTGAACCCCCTAGTCCTGCACGAGCACTAAACCGCAAATCGCCACGCCCTAAACCCTAAACCCCAAACCCTAACACCCTAACACCCTACATCCAAGGAAGCGCGAGAAAACGAGGCGGCGGAGAAGGCATCGGCTCTGGCGGAAGCCTTCAGCGGTTTCTTGACGAGGAGCTGACTTTCCCTTGTTTGAAGGTGATGTGTGGTGTACCAGCTTTTTCGAAGGGTTTAGGGTTTAGGGTTATGTGTGATGTGTGGTGTACCAGCTTTTTCTATGGGTTGACATCTTGATATTGCTTGTTAGCTTTTGCGCGTGGCGGAGTACTTCCTCAGGGCTTTCTAGTTGTAGCGGCTCTCAGTCGAGTATCAGGGTTCTCACATGTTGTTAGGCTTTTCTTGGTGGAGCAGAGACTTTGTGGCTTACATGGGGGGGGCCTTAATGAGTACCTATACTGTTTTGTGAGTTCCTTCTTATAAACATATTTTGGTATGATGCACCCCAATTCTACTCATTATGAAAGCCCTCATTTTATCGGGCCCTCGGGTCTTCCATTCTCCATTTCGGGGTTGCGCCGGCGCAGTCATCGGCAACTGACTTCCAAGGTAAGTTCGGTGACCTCCAGGTGCGGCTTTTTTGTTGACTGAGGGCCGACGCCAAAGACAGGTTCAGGTCTATGGCAGAGTCAATGGTTGGAGGTTGAGGATTCCAGATTCGGCGTTTACCTAACGCTCCTTTTCGCTTCACCAGGCCACCGTCAGGATCCTATTCATAATATAAGATTGCTTAACAAGAGAACCGGACTACAATGGAGACTGTAGGCAGGGTTCCAGACGTAGGGGTTCAAGTTGGCTGTTTCAGAGCCCTGTTCTCTAATTAAAGCATGCGACTTTGCGGAGGTTGTCAAGATTCTCATGGTTGAGTGCTGGGTTTAGGGTTGTTGTCAAGGTTTTGAGGTTGAGTAGCAGTTCCGCTCTTTTGAGATGTCGGCAGGGTTTAGGTGACGATGCGAACTGCCTCTTGGAGGAGTTTTCTGTGGGATTTCGACGCCTACGACCTACGAGTCAACAGAATAGGTCGCTTAAAACCCTACATCCTAAGCACTACACCCAAACCCGCTGACCCCTAAACCCTAAACCTCTAAACCCTAAGCCCCTAAACCCCTAAGACCCTAAACCCCTAAGGCCCTAAACCCCTAAACCCTTAAACCCTAAAACCGTGGAAGCCGCGAGGACTCGCATTGCACATCCTCGGCCTTCGACTCGTACCCTCAAGCCCTCGCCGCTCAAAGTCCCTAAACTTGCAAAGTCCCAAAATCCGAAGCGCCGAAAACAATGATGCCGTATATAGTATATGATGTATGCATGTATAGGAACTGTATATGGGCCCTTAAAGCCAAAGTATACAGTATATAGCTACCTGGACGCTGTCGACTTGGCGTGAAGCTTCGTGCCGTGTCTTCCAGGTTTGCTACCATCCTGACGATCTGCCCCAGGACCCGCCGGGGATCCTTGGATGCGGGGCACTTCCCGGATTAGCCAGGGGTTCTGTGGCATTTCTTGTTTGTGCAGGTTCTCAACGGGCGTTTGTAGGCGTCTACAACAAGGGTTTGTAATGAGTGCAACGTAAGGTTTCTCGGATTTCAACAGTTGGTAAGCTCCTGTACTCAGGCGTCTGAATATAACTACATAGTCATAGCCTCTCGTTGGGAGCAACGCACCGAAGCGGGAGCCGTGGAACCGCCGGATCCGTCTACCGTATTACCGGCGTGCTCGTAGTACCTCTAGCCTCCAGGGCTTATATCTCTGAAGCCCCATAGTCTGCATACATCTGAATCCTAGGGACAGAGGAAGGAGTCCCTCCTTGTCCAAGGAAAGCGAGCAACTGCGCCTTCGCGTTCCATTGGCTGCTGCTGTACTTGGAGCTGGATCTCAAAGATGGGAGGTCCGGTGTTCTGAACTAGAGGTTGGGTGACAAGGACTTGAGGCTGGGTTGCAAGGATTGGGGACTCCTGGTCGAGGTTTCGGGCCTCGTAACACTGCTTTGCAATGATTGGTGACGCCGACGGGGCTGGTCGGGCAGTCCCTAAACTCTAAACCTTAAACCCTAAACCCTAAATCCTAAAACCAAAGCCCGAAATCCTAAACCCTAAAGCCTACATCCCAAACCAAAACCCTACATCCTAAACCCTAAAGCCTAAATCCTAAACCCTAATCCCTCAGCATGTTCCCAGTCCGCAGGTCCGGTGTGGGCGAGGATGGCATAGAGCTTCGGAGGACACCGCCGCCAGGGCGAAATAGGAGTTTCCGAAAATAGAGGACCCTAATATAGTACCCTAGATACTAGGATCCTTATAAACAGGACCCCGAAACAAAGCACCCCTCGTCTTCGGAAGCTCCCAAACAGGCTTTTGGGCTTGCGGAAGCGCTTTGAGCGTGGGGTTTTTGCAAGTAAATATGTCTGAACTCCTATGCAGGAAGAGAGAGAGAGAGAGAGAGAGAGAGAGAGAGAGAGAGAGACAGAGAGAGAGAGAGAGAGAGCAGACAGAGACAGACAGACAGACAGACAGACAGACAGACAGAGAGTTTAGGGCTTCAAGCCGTGGAAGCAGCAGCAATGCTGGCATGCCCTGTCGTCCCCGCTTGCATGCACGGGCTTGTATGTGTATGTGTGTGTGTGTGTGTGTGTGTGTGTGTTCACATACATGTTGTATAGTGGTAGCATCATAAATGAATGTGTACAGATAACAATGTGTGTGTATATATATATACACAAACATCATATGCGTGTATATATATATATATATATACACGCATATATGTATGTATGTATGTATGTGTGTCTGTATACGTACGTGTACATATCTACAGAAAGATCTATCTAGTATACCTACATACATGCCAAGTGTCTGTTTTGCGAGAGTGGCCCAGGAGGATGTCTTATCCATTTCGTATCTGGCATACACGACAAGACGACAAGAAGTTGCGAAAGACTGCACGCACTTGTATGAGGATGGGGCTTGGTGCAAGTATGTCCGACAGAAGTTCAAGAACAGTTTGTGCACGCACACATAGCCCCTGACCCAACACTAGAAACCCCCATTCCTAGACCTCCACCCAACCCTAGAAACCGCAAACCCTTCGGGGACAGGAGGCGTGCAATGGAGCAATTGGAGACGTTGTCACTCAACGCTCCCAGGCCCCTGGCTGTGCACCGGTTTCGGGATTTAGCGTGTCGCGGTTTAGGCTTCCGGGGTTTAGGGTTTCGGAGTTTAGGATTTCTGGGTTTGGGGTGTAAGCTTTAGGGATTCGGTTGAAAGATGAAGCCTAAACTGTCGTAGGAGTTCGTGTCCGTAATGAAACACCATCCGGCGATCGCTTGGAGATGCCAGAGTGTTTGGTCCCGAGGATGGCTTTTGTAGTAGGGGGCTCAACAATTGGCACGTTTAGGGGTTGAGGGTTTACAGTCTACAGCACGGGTAGAGGGTTTGGGATTCAAGGCTTTGGTGGTATATGATGGAAAAACCAACGGCTGTTGTAATTATTGTTGTTCCGGTTTTTTATTATGCGGCAGGCTGTGATTTCTTGCAGCCCCTAAGCTTCGCTTCGAAGTGCAAGCAACCGGTGCTTTTCAAAGCGTAAAGGCTGTAATCTCCAGCCTCCGAATTCGGAATCTCCGGCTCTCGCACGTCTTGAGCCTCAGGGTATGAAGTTTGGAGTTGAACACAGAACTCAGAACACAGAACATAGTTGAGCCGAAGACTGGCTTTCTGACGCGAGCCTGGAAGGCTTGGCGCAGACGCTGCCGCCAACGTGATGCTGACTGTGGGAGATGCAGATTCAGTATTTCATCACTTCTACTTCGAGGAGAGTTACGGGTCTGGGAGTTTGGGCTGTAGAGATTGAGTGAGTTTCTTGAAAGCCCGAACCCAGAGCCAAAGCAGCCTCCAAACCTGAAAAAGTGGCTGGAGGTTCGGGGTGCTCACGTTTTGATTATTGCTCTGCCGCTCCCGGAAGCCCACCCAAGCCCTATCCGGAGCACCCTTGAAGTTTAGGGTTAACCCAAAACCAACAGAGCTTGGTGTTTTAAGGTGTTGGACTGTTGGAGTCTCAGAGGTTGTTGGTCGCAGGTGGCCAATTCGCAGCCCAGGGCTTTTTTGTTCTGGGAGTATTTTGCTAAGCTGCAGACTTCGCACCCTACTACCAATGTTTCGAGTCTCTCTACCACCCAAAGCCGACCCAAACGATCCGAGTGGAGATACCCCATCTAACAATGGGAGTGTTTGAGAATTGGAGACTGTAGCATGACAATGCGGCGAGGGGATATCAGAGCGGGGCCCTCCACCACTACAATTCAACAAGTGGTTGTAGCATTTGGGGGAGTCTTTGTCTCTGCTGTCGCTGTGGGTGGATCTTGTTCTTGCTCTTCCTTTTGCTACTCTTCCTTTCGCTCTTGGTCTCACTTCTGATGTTGCTCCTGCCCTTGCTTCTGCTCTTGCTCATGCTCTTGCTCCTCTTGCTGTTGCTCTCGCTCTTGCTCCTGCTCTTGCTCCCCCCTATTCCAAAACTGGTTCCAAAGGGTGGTCATGATTTCAGGAGGATGTTCCGGCAAGTGTAATTATGATTAGGGTATGTTTTATACATGGGGAAATGAGTAAACTAGTTCTCCAGAACTCTTTCCCTCCATGCACGCCCCATCCTGGACAGTCTTTGCAGGAGCTGACACGACAATTCAATGCATCTCCGACGAAGCAGCACATCTGGCAGTCGCCTATACTCCATGTGCCTGGGCTAGAATGGGAAGGAAGTACGACTCTCTCTCTCGCTCTCTCGATTTCTCTGTCTCTTTCTATGTCTCTTGCTCTTTCCCTTTGTCCATATCTTTCTCTCTCTCCCGCCCGCTCCCCCGATCTGCCTCCTTCCCCGTCCCTCCTTTCCCGCCCTTGCTCTTCCTGTCTCCCGCTCTCTCGCACCCTCCCCTTGCAGAAACGAATGAATAGATGGACGGTTGGTTGGATGCATGCATGCATGCTGCATGCATGTATGTACACATATTCTGTATGTCTGTATGTTGGCAAGCAATGTAATGTAATGCAGCGTAGTGTAATGTGCCGGTCCCTTTAGGAATATGGGCGTATTTAATGCGGTTTCCCGGGGCTAATTCAAACCGGCACCCACAATTTCAGCGGTTCAAATAATGCATTTTTTTTGGCCGGTGATTTTTTGGGGGTGGGGCTGTGCTGTCTGCTGATGGTCAATCTTAAGGCAGCCACGACCTAAGCCCCCACCCAAACCCTTCTACTTAGGCGCCCAAACCCCGGGACTCCCCATTCCCTCTAATTACTCAATTAATTAATCCAACTAATCCAAGCCACCCAGACCCTAGCTGCGACACCACAACTCCCTTCTAATTTAATTAGTTAAACAATCAAAGCCACCCAGACCCTGAGCCCCACTCAGACCCCTGACCCCTGTCCGGGGTTGCCGGTTCCAAATTAATCAAACCAAAACTTTTTGGTCCGGGGGGGGGGGGCGTCCATTAAAGGGACCGCCACATTAATGTAATGTAATGTACTTGCATGTACTGAATTGTAGCGTAGTTACTGTATTGTATGTATGTAACGATGTATGTATGTACGTATGTATGTATGTACGTACATGTGTATGTATGTGTAGGTGGGTGGGATGCAATGTGACATGTTCAAGCCGTCACGTGTAATGCACGCGATGTGCAGTGCAAGTTCATGAGAACGCAAGCCCAGGCGCTGGTTAAAGACCCCCTCTCCCCAAAAGCAGTTCGATCGGAACCTCTGGGTAATGATCTAGCGAAGTCTTACGATCTCAAGCCCTGGAGTCACAACTCTTCACAAAGGACCCCGATGAAGTCAAAGATGCTGGATCCTCGTTGCAAGGATCCTTGGGAAACCTGGAAGATCCCCGACCTTGGAGCAGTCCTGAACCCGGGCATCCCAGACGAACGCGAGGTCAAAAACTTCGAGTCCTCACCGGCGCCGGTTAAGGCTTGCGGCTGTGGGCCTCAGACCTAAATCCTAGCCCTAAACTCCCTAAACCAGGCTTCAGGGTTCAGGGTCTCTTGTGGTAGCCCTTCCTTGGGACGCAAGTGGGGGGGGTTGAGGTGTCCCCACACCAGACAGAGTTTATGGTTTAGGAAGTTTAGGGTCTCTTGTGGTAGCCGTTCCTTGGAGCACTCCAAGCCACGCCTGAACCGCCCGTAATCCTGAAACGAAAAAGATGCCTTGGACGTAAGTGGAGGGTTGACGTGTCGGGTTTCGGATCAATTCGACGTCTTAGAGCGCATGTACTTGGAGGATCATGGGACTTAGTAAGTAAGGATATAAGTACCCTAATTGGGGTTATAAGTATAGTTACCCTAATTACAGCCCTAGTTACCAAGTCCCATGATCCTTTAAGTACGGTTGTGGGTCTGGTCTGCAGTTCATAGTTCGGGATTTAGGGTTAATTCTTTGGCAGGTCTCGGGGTGCGGAGTGCAGGATTTAGGATGTATAAGCATGGAGGGAGTGTGCAGGTGTGGAGGGCTCAGGGAGGCGCGTGACGGGGAACGTAAGCTGCTCTGCAGCAGGTGGGCACTTTGTTCACGAGTATGAACGAGTTGGCTGTGCACGCAGATCCCAATTCCGTCGCCTTCCCGATGCTTGTCTCACATGGAGGTTGTCATTGTCTTGGAGGGGTCCCAGGGTCATGTTCCTTGAGTTGGCGTTTGAGGAAATTCAGGGCAGAATTCAAATCGTTGTTATGGCACACAGACATGTGAGGAACTGGTTGTGATTCAGGAGTAGGGCTCAGGGTTTAAAAAACAGGAAGTCTTTGGGGAGATAGCTGTCAGTGCCAAAGCTCACTCTCCTTCCAGTTCTCACCGTTTGCTGAACCGCTCGTCTACACCGCGAATGTCGATTTTTACCTGGGTGTTTGCAAACTATATTGTGAGTAATTAGACGTTTCGATGCTCCTTCCTGCCTGGCCCCGAGGAGGTTTCGTTCCAGGGCCCTGGTCCGCAAGTTCATGTTCTAAACACTAACTAAGCACCAAACCGGTAAACCCCTAAACCCTAACCCCTAAATCCTGAACCCTAAACATCAAAGAGTTGGCCAGATCCTGAACTGGTGCCCTTCCTGAACAAGCAAACGGCTTCTACCCACCCATCCTGAAACCCCCAAGCCCCAAGCCCCTAAACCACGACTTGGAGCTTCATGGGTAGTTCTGAGTGTCCCCTAATACTTGTAACATCTTAGAACTCCACTTAACTTATCACTACCCACGAACCTCCAAGTACCCCCTAACCCAAAAACCCTTAAACCCCAAGGCAGGCCTGAACCACGCTCTAGAGCAATGATAGCACCTCTGCAAGAATCGTTGTAAACCCCCTATCGAACCTCTTACTACGGAACCCTTTCTTCGTAGAATCCCATAAGGAATTTATTAGTTGATCGAACCTCTTTGGGTCCTGAAAAGCCAACGAAATCCATCAGAACTTTGGACTCAACCCATAGCAAAAAGCCTAACAGGTATTCGACGTATTCTTTGCCGTTGGAGTTGGCCAGGGGCGTTGGCGGATGGGACCCGGAGCGGCTTGAAACGCAGATTTTCGATCTCCGACAGCCTTCCTTACTTAGAGGCTCATGGATAGTTAAACGCGGTTATGAGTAGGGTAGCTATACTGGCTATACTTATAACCCATATTAGGGGGCTTATAACCCCACTTATAACTACCCATGAACCTTCAGGTAGGGTGTTCCTGTAAGAGTAATATAGGGGCCTAGGGACTTGGCCCTTACCATATTTATGGCAAAATGGGCCCCAAAAACTCTATATTGTAATTAATTGTAAAGGCCCCCACAGTTCTTGAAAGAGTACGTTCATTCAGGGTTTTGGTTGCTTGTAGGGTTATTTCGGCATCTACCAACGGTTGACTGGAATCGGAGTTCTTGTCGGGACACCATTAGGTGTTGGGGGGCTTAGCAGGCGAGCATCGGGGCGGGCATCTTCGAATAGCACGCGCTTCTTTTTGCGAAGGCGGAACATGGTAGATACCCACCTTCACGAGCCAGTCATGGGTAGTTCTCTGAATTAGGATCCCTTTCGGGGTCCCGAAAAAAGTAACGCACCCTTCGATGAAAAGGATCCTTAAACGGATCCTGATTTAGAGAAATGCCCACATAAAGACATCTTGGAAAACCCAAGGCAAAACAGGCCTTGGTTTGGGTTTCGGAGAGGGCTACTTGGGTTTAGGGTTTAGGGTACATCTATAATATTCACACCCTAAACCCTTGAACCCGAAGACCTGAAACTGCGAGGCTTGTGCCTTCCTCAAGCTTTGAATCCTGAAGCCTTAAACCTTCAGCCCTCAAGCAGAGGAAGGCGTAGTCACCAACACCCATACTTGTAACCACCTTAACCCCAAAGCCCTGGGATCCCAAAACCCTTCTCAATCCCGTAACCATAAACCTCAAGCCTGCACAAAGGGAAACCGTGCTGGATTGAGTGGGTGGGTCTGGAGGGTCCGTTTCGGAGCCATCCTAAAGCTTAACGCTGTAAACCCTATGAGCCCTACTAAGCCTCTAGACCCCAAAATTAGACTCTACGAGCCCTACAAGCCCAAAACCCTAAACCCAACCCATTGAGGTGGATCTCTGAAGACTGGCACATGGGCATCAAGTGCATGCCTTTTGGCTGCCTTTGAGTTATGGTGATTAGGGCTTTAATGAGCCCCAGGGCTGTGGTGCTGTCGGGTTGGGGAGGTTAGGGGGGTTTAAAGTTAAAGACTTGGGGCTGGGAGGGGGGGGGGGGGGGCTTTGGATTTTTAGGTGCGGGGTTTGCATTTAGAGTCCTGAACCCGGCAGACTACCCAGAGACTCCAATATCCCCTAGTTATGGAATATTAGTAATCTGTATTTGAGGGATATTGGAGTCTCTGGGTACTTGACTACCTCATGTCCGAAGCTCCAGATACTTCCAACCAAAGCTCTTAGCTTCACGGCGTAATGCCGGCATCTGAAAAACTGCAATGTTAATCGTATCCCATTACAGCTCAGCATACATATGTAAATCATATCACATCATGTCATACCGTATGAAATCATAATATGCCGTCTAAATGGAGTATCCTTTAATATACACCAGCCAAGTGCCCGTCCGAATTGCTGAGGCCTGCCAGTGCACATGTCTTGCGACTGTAAAACCACTGCCTTGTCACTTTCGTTTCTCAGACTTTGGTCCGTCATACCCCAACGCCAACGCCGAATTCTAATCATTAAGGCCCCTACACTAACGAATCCTAAACCCTAGAGTGGTAAGTCGAACAGCTTCTGCTTCGGTTCGTCTCCTTAGCACAAACCCGAAACCCGCCACGCCCGAACCTCCCCAAGGTTTAGGATTCAGGGTTTAGGGTCCAGGGTTTTTCAGGGTTTAGGGTTCGTTTTGTCGGGTCTAGGGTTGAGGGTGTAGGGTTTAGGGTTTTGCAGAAAGCACCAGCCGGCTATGATATGTGTCGCGCCGCTTCTCAAACACAGGGAAGGCTACGAGAGTGTAATCCCTTGAGTCAGGAATGCCCAAATGTATAGCAAAGCATTCTAGCAAAGACACCAGTCGAGACAAACCTGTACATCCTAGTCACGACAGACTTTGCAAAGCTTTTGTACTCAGAAGACACAGCTGTTTGTGCGTAAAAAGGGGCCTCAATTCGTTCTGTGCGCGTTCATGATGGTCGTTTGAATGACATCTGCAAGCACAGCTCCCGAGCACTCAGTGGATAGTGCTCAGCAGGTTATGAGCGCCCAATCCGCTCAGCAAGCTGCGCGTAACAATACTGCGTCGGACCTGGTGAATGGAACAGCACCAGGGTTGTCTCGAGCAGGGAATGCCAACCTCGCCTTGGACACTGGAGTGAGAGGTGGGATTCAGAGTGAGGATCCTACTGGGCCCACAACGAGGACGGAAGCACGGCATTCGTCGGAGCCTATGGAGCCTGTATCTGGGCTTGAGCAGGCTGGGCGATTGAACGCCTGCCCCGACAACCGATGCCGTGCCAGGGCACACAGGAGCGGCAAGCGATTTTCTAACGCCGCGGTCGGTGGCGACAGTTCAGACTCTACACCACCGGGTGGACATACGTTTACACTTCGGTCGCCGGTGCGGCAGCGGCCGATCCGAAGGCCCATCACTCCTCCAAGCAGTTCCTCGATACCAGCCGAGGCAATACAGCAGGAAGTGCAGCGGCAACTGGGAGGATTGCTTACACGGTTGGATGATGCGGAGATAAGGAACGCTCAGCTGTCAAGAGAGTTGGAAATGGCACGAGCGGAAGCGGAGGAGGCCAGGGCGAGAGTCCTACAGCAGAGGGAGACTGAGGTCGCTCATCAGGCGGCGCGGCGGCTACAAGAGGTGGCTTGGGATGCGTTGCGTCATGGAGAACCTGTACCTGCTCCCCTACCAGGACGGGTCAAGACGCTGTGTGCCTGCAGCCGTGTGGCAACCGACCGTGTGTTCGGATGCGCCCGTGTGTCCGGGCAAGGATTCGTGACAAGCGGCCGTGTGCCGTGTAAAGCGGCCGTGTGTCGGCCTCCTTCGGTTCACGGAAAATTCGTGGCAGATCGTGTCGCGATCGGCGTCCGCCGTAATATGTTTATATATTAATATTAATATATTCATATATAATACATGACACAAAAAACCGTCACCACTTTCCTTTTCTAATAAATACTGATCTGTATATATAATCTAAATTATATGAATAATATATATAAATATTGTAGAATTAATATTAATATATATATATATATATATATCTGCGCGCGCGCGCGCACGCGCGCGCGCGCGCTCGACACCGTGCCGCGGCACATGGCCCGGGATCGTGCCGCGAAACCGTGCCGCGGCACACGGCCCGGGGATCGTGCCCGGGATCGTGCCGCGGGCCGTGCCGCGGCACACGGCCCGGGATCGTGCCGCGACACCGTGCCGTGGCACGGCCCGGGGTCGTGCCCGGGATCGTGCCGCGGGCCGTGCCGCGGCACACGGCCCGGGGATCGTGCCGCGGCACCGTGCCGCGGCACACGTGCCCGTGCCGCGGCACCGTGCCGCGGCACACGGCCCGGGCCGTGCCGTGCCGCGCGCGCGCGCGCGTATATTATTATTATTACTATTACTATTACTATTAATTACTACTACTATTATTATTACTATTACTACTACTATTATTACTATTACTATTACTATTACTATTACTATTACTATTACTATTACTATTACTATTACTATTACTATTACTATTACTATTACTATTACTATTACTATTACTATTACTATTACTATTACTATTACTATTACTATTACTATTACTATTACTATTACTATTACTATTACTATTACTATTACTATTACTATTATACTATTACTATTACTATTACTATTACTATTACTATTACTATTACTATTACTATTACTATTACTATTAGTATTACTATTACTATTACTATTACTATTACTATTACTATTACTATTACTATTACTATTACTATTACTATTATTATTACTATTACTATTACTATTACTATTACTATTACTATTATTATTAGTATTACTATTACTATTACTACTACTATTACTATTACTATTACTATTACTATTATTATTACTATTATTATTACTATTACTATTACTATTATTATTACTATTATTACTATTACTATTATTATTACTATTACTATTACTATTACTATTACCAATTACATTAGTAATACTAATACTAATACTAATATT